CATACATTGATACAAGGGGCTGTTCCTCCATAGGTGCAGGATTTTGCAACTCTCCTTGTTGAAATTCATGAAGTTCCTGTCAGGCCCCTTCTCCAGCTTGTGAGGTTGGAGGTGGAGGGCAGCACCACCCGCTGCTGCACCAACCACTCCTCCCAGCTTGTCATCTTCAACTGCTCAGTTTTGTCCTTCAGAAGACGATTTCAATGAGGTTATAAAATATACCATAAATATTATAAAATATCACCATAAAACATACAGACTTTGTTTTGAAAGTCTATCCCCACTTGTATAGTCAGCACTTGTTTGCTGGCTACAATCCACAAAATAGTATTTTCCACCCTGTATTTTCTTAGCAGGTACCTTAAAGCATAAGCAGTGAAAAGATTGACTTCTGGTCTAAGAGAAAAGTATTGAGTTAACAGTCTTACACTGGTCCACAAAGGTGGGGAATTTCTCCTATCAGAGTGTTGTGTTGCTCCTGGACAAGTAGAATAGTAGAGAAAAAAAGGGAACAAAATTCTACCTGCATTCCTCATCCAAAAACATTGTAGTAAACCTCTTCCAAGGCATTCAGGATGGAATGCCAGTATCACTCTGGTGGAATTTGTAACAGAAAAAATCTCTCCCTCTCTTTTTGTCTGTCATTTGTGCATTATTTATTAAGTATTTCCAAAGGAATACTGCTGGCCACTAATACCCTGCTGGTCAGTACTACCATTACATTATTGTCACTGTAGCATTCAAATTTCATTCCACAGAAATGTTCCTTACAGGAACATCATGATTTACTTTGCCATGTTTGAAAAGTCTGACATTTCCACAGACCAGCACTTCCCAGTTGCAAATCTGAGGCTGCTTTCCAAAGGTCTCTACACATCAGAGCTCCCACAGGACAGCAGAGATGACAGAAAGCAGCCAAGCCTTGACTAATAGGCTGACACTGCTTTATGGTGGACACCCTCCAGCTGCTGGAAAGCAATGAAGGGAGACAGAAACTTTACCAGAGAGAGAGAGAACTTTTAGCCTGCCCAATTCTGGTGAAGGACTGGAGTAGGAACCTTTATGGATCCAGTAATATGTAAGATAAATCTTTTCATCCAGTTTTTGTTACCTTTTTGTTACTTTTAAAAATATACTTATCTATTAATTATTTCATGCTGAATCAACCTACCAAGATTCTTTTCACCCCACTTATATCACAGATTTCAGATGCAGGGACTAGATGGCACCAAACACTTTTGAAAGCATCTACTTATATTTTTATGGATCTATAAATATATGAGGGATATTTTCACAATGATAGAGAGTAATTATAAAGAAGGCCCCAAGATTCCAGACAGAGATTATATATTTTATTATATAATTTGGTTCCTTTGTGAAGAACATATATTCAATCCCTTCCTCAGATCTGATAAGGAAGCACTGAAGGTCATGCTAAATCTAAGATAGGAGCAGGGTGCCCTCAGCCAAGGTGCTGTGATTGCTGGAGTCACCCAGCAGAACCAATCTGATCTGACTCAGATGTGGGCACATGGCTGTTGTGTTAGTCAGGCACTGGGGAGCTGCATTCTCGTGTGCTGGCTCTGTGTCAAGGGATGAGGGGTGCAGCAGGGGCACAGAGCTGACTCAACAAAGATTTCTGAACCAGGATCCACCAGTCACTCAGCCCACTGCAGTCTGTAGCTCTGGCATTTTGGAGTGGACTTCAGGAGCCCTCAGCCCAGCTGCAAGCTATTGGCATATCAATAACACCACTGATTTAATTCACTACTGTTTTGAGAGACAGGGGATTAGCACCTGCAGAGCAGAAAGCAGTGCCAAAAGGAGGGAGGAGGGGTCACCAGCCTTATGGAAGAGTAGGAGGACCAAGCTTCTATAAGCTACCAGAAATAGAGGGATCTGCCAAAAGTGGTTACAAGTAAAATAAGCATTTATATTTGTAACTCATGATCATAGCATTGATATTATGATTCCCATCCTCCTTTCATGCCTCTCTGGCAATCTGATGCTGAAAATATGATTGCTTGACTGCAACTGGAGACTCAAAATTGCAGCCCCCAGTGACCAGCAATCTTTCTAATGCAGTGATCCAGCACTACCATACTGCCTCTTCCAGCTGCAGTGTTCTCCCATAGGTGGTGTCAGGATTAAGCCTTTGTCCTCTTGTTGCCACCACTGCACCACAATAATTCTGGCTGAAGTCCTGAACTTCCAGAGATGGACACACAGTGTGTGGCCAATAGGCCAAAGGATTTCCATGTCCTGCCCACCTTCAGGCTCATTTTGCCACATTGAAACAGACTCTTTGTTCATGTCAATGACACTGATTTCAAGAGAAAGATGTGTACTAATAATGGTAGAGAAGATTGGGACTGGCCTTTCCTTCTTATTCCCCCTTCTCCACAGCACTCCTGAGGTGTTTATTTGGTGTCCACCTGCTGACCTGTATAGTATACATTTGAACTGAGGCAAGTTTTACAGTTTAACAAATATAGAATATCTTTTAAAGTCACACTTGAGCAGATATGAAGTCTGGGAAACGTCATCCAAATGTTATCATAAGTGAAAGGAAATTAAGTCATAATTCAGCCAGATTCAGCATTACTCAAATGCAGCGGAAAGTAATGCTTTCAATGCCTGAATCTGCTGCCTTTTATTAGTTTCTCTCCTGAAAACTATAAATCCTTGATCAGATATCCTCTCCTGAACAGCAAAATAGAATAAGTTCAGTTTGGCTAGGCAAGAGCAACAGTTACTGAGATCAGAGAGATTTAGAGCAACAGAGTTCCACAAATCAGCTGTGCTGACATGACAGCTTATCATCTAGGACTGATAAAATCTTCCATAGAAATGGTTATTTGGAAGATTATGTCTGTACTCAGTGGACCTGGATCCTTCAAAAGCATGAAATGACTTAGAAAACTGAGGGGACATATTTTTTGTGGATACTTAGGTAGTCACTTGTCTATCATTACACAGCTAAATACCTCTGAAAATGTAATCTTCAGTCACAATCTCAAAGGAGACAGATTTTTAGAGGTGCACAGATGGCCAGGAGGTTTACAAAGTGCCTGGTTCTTTAGTTCGCTATAAAATCAATGAGAGTTAAGGGTCTCATATAAAACCTCATTGATCTGCCTAATTAAAAAACACAGCCCTGTGTCTGGTTAAAATCAGAAAGGTTGGAGCCTCGCAAGCTCTCAAAGCTGCACTTTGGCCTTCCATGAGGTAGTGCCCAGGCAGGAGTGCCTGATCAATGGGAATGAGGAGGGGAGAGGTGCCAAGGCTGAACCAGCCTCCAGACACAGCTGGACTGTCAGGACAGAGGGGAACAGCAGGGAACAGACAGTCCATAGAAAACTGACACTAAAATAGGCCAGTCCAGGCCTTCACAAAGACACTTCAGTCATACCTGCACAGTTTAAAGAAAGATGTGGGTTTACTTAGACCATTTGAGAAGGTGTTTCTCTTTAAATAGCAGCTTAGGATGAGAGCTGCCACTTCCAATTTAATCACCCTCCTTTAATGCAGGCTGGTGCTTTGCAGCTGGATAATTAACCTTGATATTCATTCGGACTTCAAAACACCCAATTCCCATTGCTGTCAATTAGCTGATGATGTCAAGTGTGTGTTGATAGAAGAGTTTTGTGTGACCCTAGCAATATGGCATCTGGGAAATTTCAGTCCTTCACAACTAAAAATGGGACGTGACATTCACAGAAGCACAGAATGGTTGAGGTTGGAAGGGGCCACTTCACTTCTAATGAAGTAGATCCACTAGATCCACTTGGAGATCTAGCCCAAGCTCCCTGCTCAAATAGGGTGCTCTGGAGCATTTGACTCAGAATTGTGCCCAGGGAGATTTTTAATATCTCCTCAGCCTCTATGGGCACCCTGCTCTATTGCTCAGCCACCCTCACAGCACAGCATTCCTTCCTCATATTCAGGTGAACTTCCCATCTTCCAGTTTCCACCTGTTGCCTCTTGTCCTATTGCTCAGCACCACTGGGACTGGGAATTTGTCACTGAATTGAATTCACTAAACAAAACAGAAGTATATTAGGGTTTACCCTATTTTCTGCTCCTATGGCAATGCACCTTTCTAATAAACCCTCAAGGTAATTTTTAAATCTTCTTGTTGCAACTGTGAGTGCACAGAGGATGCCTTGATCTCAGAGCACTCAGAAGCCACCATACTTTTTAACACCAGTGTAAGGCTGGAGGCAGGGTTATAAATGACTGGTTCACAATGGTTTTTGATATGAGAGGCAGTACAATAAACTCTGCGTATCAAAATGAGACAAAATGTGGGAAGGGCCAGTGACATTTCATTCTTGCCACTGATTTCTTTGTATTTATAATAAAGAGTTACTAATGAGATTAAATTATTGGGTGGAAAGAAATTGGAATCTGACTGTTTTCCTGATATGCCACAGTGGGTTGTGTTCTGCTAATGAGTGTTAACCCTGCAATCAGGTAAACATTCACCTTGAAAAATGAACAGCCTTAATCAGGGCTTTTAAATCAGCCTGAACAGTCAACAGCTGAAATTAAATTGGCTCAAACACAACTGCTTCTCTTTTTAAATATTATTCCTCTTTCCTTATGAGGATGGGAAATAATAGCATAAGTGAAACATTCTTGTAGTAAAAGAGCAGCTCCAGTCCCTTCCATGTCAGAGACCCTGTCCTGTGACTAAGAAAGGATGTATTGACTGATGCTCAATACATTGCTTTTGCACAGGCTAACCAGAGCCTTTTGTGAAGGTTCCTAATGTGAACTCAATCTGACCTCCATATTTCCAAAGGACTTTACCTCATCTCCTAAGTACAAATAGAAAGATAACAAAGAAAATAAATAAGGAGGGGCAGGAAGAAAGAAAAAAGAAGTGTTGGTCTGTTGTGCTTTTCTCTGGATTTGAGAATGACATCAACCTGTGGGCCTTTATCTGAAATATTCTGAAAATAGAAAAAAAACTGACAACTCCATTTTCTACACAGGGTCAGCATTATGAAGAGGAAAAACGGGCTTTGAGCCATGAAATAATTGCACTCAATAATCACTTAATAGAAGCCAAGGTGACGATAGATAAGTTGTCAGAAGACAATGTAAGTATTTAATTATGTGACGGTATTCATTTTGGGATTATATTCTGAAAAAAAATTCTGTCTTGCACTTCCCATGAAATTTTAGAATAATATTTTATTTGTACAAAATGTAACTTGTTACCTCAACAGTTAAATTTTATATTTGTTTGTTTGTTGCCATCATTTTGTAAATCCAGTTCTCCTTATGCTATGAAGTTGTGATGAGACTTTTCATTGATATTTTTTTCCTTATGTCTAGCCTGAAACTTATGAAAAAATACCCTAAGAAGTGGCAATATTCCCACACTGACTTTGCCATCAGTACAGCAAATTGGTTCAAGTACATGGTCAGAGCAGTTGCAGGGACACGTGTGGAGTGAGGACACATCAGAAGGATTTTAGGCACAGTGTAGAGCCCTGCATTTCCTTGGTTCTTTTATCTTTTGGTCTTTTCTCACCAAAAAGGCCAGCACAAGCAAGCTCTGCCAGCAGAAGGCAGGACTGACCCAGCTTGGTCACTCAGACCACTCCTGCAGGGAGCAGGAGCCAGGCTTTCCCCAGCAGTTGCTCATGTGTAAAAATGTACCTATCTCTGTGTGGGACAAAACAGGGAACATCTCTGGCAATTGTCACCCTCCATCTCATTAAACACTGCTGAAAAATGGCATGAGTTGTGCAGCTGGCAGCACGCTCATTAAATCCTTCCTGAGACAAACCTACAAAGACAGCAAAGAGAGGAATACTGCAGACATTTAGTTCATTATTGTGCCATTCCTTCCACATTTAATAAAAAATTCATCTACAGAAGACATGTTTCTGTTAGTACTTATTTTCCAGCGTCTTATGTTCAATCTTCCCATATTTCACATTGAATCTTAATCATAGCTGGGAGCATTTGATCTCATTAAAATGCCTGTTGATGTGAGCTCTGCCTGTGCAATTAACAGCTTTCCAACTGAAACAAAAACTTCCCAGTTTGACCCCTCACTTTTATAGAAGTTGAGTTGAAAGAAGAGTTACTTCATAACTCTAACAGCTATACGTAATGGAATGTGGTAAAAGTAATGGGTTACATCCAGGTTTTGGAAGCACAGATACACCTCCAGACTAATTCAGCTGAAATCAGTGGAGTCATTTTTGATTTAGAGGTGGAAAAAAATTGCAGAACTCTCCCTTTAAGTATGCATGCATTTATATTATTTCATGGAGTCAGGTTTGAACCCACATTTAAAGTGTTTTCAGTATTCATAGTTTTACTCTCAGCACTAGAATATGATCCAGAGGCCTCAAATAAGAGTACCACTCCTTCAGACTTGAGGTTGGTTCATGAACAAAGTTCTGCCCTTGCAGGGCTTGAGAAAACTGCATGAAATTAAGTCAGGTGAGGTTTAGGTTGGACATGAGGAAAAGGTTCTTCACCCAGAGGGTGTCTGGGCACTGGAAAGGGCTCCCCAAGGCAGTGGTCATGGCCCCAGCCTGACAGAACTCCAGAAGTGTTTGGACAGTGCTCTCGGGCACAGGGTGTGACTCTTGGGGATGGTGCAGGGCCGGGACTTGATGATCCCTTCCAGCTCAGGATAATCTGTGGTTATGTGTAGTATCACTAATAAGAGTAAAGCTTATATTCCAAATTTTAAAATAAAGAACTACAAAACAAACCACTAATATTATACCTAATAAGTAGAGAAGTGATGAACTGAAGAATCCCACATGGGGAGAAAGAAATATTGCTGAGACAAAAACATTCTCCAATTATATTTCCCCTCTCTCTTCTGACAGAAATGTAAAAGTACACTTTTGATACAAAATCATATTTTAAACTGTGGGAAACACTTCTGGCATTAATTGCCAGTTCTAGTTGCCACAGATATGGCTGGTTTCCATTCAGGCAAACAAAGGAGAGAAAGTCACTCCAGTCACATGGCTTGGCCCAGCAGGTTGAGAACAAAGTACACGTGGCACATGTAGCTCACATGTAATTTTTCTGTAGTAATTTTTAAAGCTGCTAAAAATAGAGTGTCAGAAATGCTTTTTGTACTCTCCATGACAACTGCTGCGCAGAAAGAGAGGCACAGAGCTTTTGAAGAAAGGATTAAGTTCTGGAGAGATAGCATTTTTGTGTGCCTGGAAATGCCATATGGGACTTGGGGCACCTGTCTGTGCTAGACATTGTGCTGTATATATTGTGCAATATGTATTGGGTTTCACGTGCACGTGACATATCAAAATCACATGCACATGCAACAGATTTTACTTCTAAATTGAATTCTTGGGTTCTTTTTCAGGAATGAAAACATTGTGTCCTAATATAAAATTTAAGACCCGCATAAATGAATGTCTCCCCAGTACGTTTGAGGCAGAAGGGGCACATATAAATTCTCACAGGGAAAAAAAATCACAAAACAAAAGTGCATAAAGGTCCTTGAATATTAATATATATGAACTGATGTTCACAGGACAACTCCATCCCTCAAAGGCTCACAAGAATGTCTTGTTGCATCTCTTATTACAGAATATCTTAAAATGGTATTTTAAAACAGAGGAAATATCTTTTTCACAGAAAATTTCTTTATCAATTTTTAAGAGAATTAATGGAGTCATAAAAATTGGCACGCAATAAAATTATAACATTAACATCAGAGAAAATCCAAATCATATCAGTATTCCACACCTTTTGTCTATAAACACATTAATTTTTACAGATTAACACAGCCCAGTGCCCATAGCACTTTCATGCTTTGTATATCTCATCTCTTCCCACCTATAAAGTCAACTTCTGAAGCCAACCTTGGTTTTAATGCAACTAGATGAGGAAAAGGAAAAACAAAATACAACCCTTACCTTCAGGGAGCCAGAGATGCTGGTTGAAGGATACAGTTACACAGTCATGTGTCCTAAATTAAATTTAGGTGAAGGGCAAATCTATGTGCTGAATTTTCCCATTAAATAGGCTGTGGGAGCCATTCAATACAAAGATAGTATAAGAAGCTCTCTTAAATTCTCTCCTTCCCTGTGTGGAATTCTCACGGTAATTTCTTGCCCAGTGAAAATATTCTGTTCTGCAGCATCAAATATTTGCAGTGAGATTTAATATATTTCTATAGCTGCATTCTGCAAGATATTAAAGGAGCCAGGAAGCATTGAGAAATATCAAAAGGAGAGTGTCCCTTTTTAAAAAACCAATACAATGTATATTTCTGTAATGAATTTTTCCCACAGTCTCATAAGATTATTTTAGCATTTTAGTATTTAATTAGTATGGATAATACCCAGTAATTTTTTTCTTTTTTGTTTAAAAGATCATGGTTTTTTAGCCTTCACAGTACCATGCATGTTAACAGTATAAAATTCAGTTCTTAATGGTAAGCACCTATTTTCTGAAATGCAGATTACTGCTCTGTTGTAACAGGTCTCAAAAATTTATTCTTAGTATTTTCATCAGCCCTCACAGAGCAAAGGGGGAAATATCTCTGGGTTGTGCAAGAAACAACAAAGCATTTTAATTTGTTTAGAAATTAAAGGATGTTCCAAATCTCTCCAGACTGAATTTCGAAAAGATTGATCAGGCATGGGAGAAAGGCTGAGAGCCACAAGTACTTTGCAGACTTTAAAGAAGAGGTTATTTTTTGTTTTCTTCCAGGAGCTCTACAGGAAGGACTGCAATTTAGCTGCTCAGCTTCTCCAGTGCAGCAAGAACTATGACAGGGCACATAAACTTTCAGAGGTAATGTGACCAAGCTTGCTCAATGACATAAATATTGTATGGAAAACAGGCTATTTTGCATGTATCAGTTCCAGAATTTGTTTGCCCTTAAGGCTTTTATTCCTCCACACCCTCCTTTAAGCCACAGGAGGCCTCGTGCACCTGCTGGTGTTTCTCCTATCCAGTAGAATGGGCCTGCACTGATTGCCTGTAAAACAAAGGTTTAAAAAGCACTGATGTGCTGTGAACTCCAGAATGTAAAATGCTGTGCAGGAGCAGTGGGGTGAGAGCAGGGAAATGCCGAGTTACAGGCGTCAGAGATTCTGATATAATCAATTTTCTTCCTGAAGCTATTTTCCAGTCCAGCTAGTTTCCAAACCCAAATTTTAAAATGGACCGCCAGAACAAATATCTTTTTCTAAAGAAACCAGAGCACCAAATGATTGATTTCCAAGGTGTAAACTTTAATTAATAATCCTTGCTTCCAAGGAAATGAGAAATAGGCTCCTTAAAGGGGAGGTAAATATTATCTTAGTAAACAAGACAGTTCTTTAGGGATCTAGGCCCTGCACCAAAGCAATAGCACCTTCCTCAAATATATTGCTTCAGTGAAGGTTGCAAAGACTTTCCTTCATCACTCCCATCAGGTCAACATCCCCCAAATGGCCTCTCTTGTGCAATTCTGCAATGGAATATTGCAAAATTAAATTTGGAATGTAAAAACCATCCCTAAGTCAGTGGATGGCTTCAGAGCAATGAACAACCCTGGTAAATAAAGATGGAGCAAGATTCTTCTGTACAACAGGCAATGATTATATGGAACAGAGACGGAACTTCCAAATAAACCATTATCTTGGTCCTGTTATTTATTCTTGTTAACTGACTTCCCTTAGCAAGATGTATCAAGGAATTATCATGGCATTACTCACACTTGAAAACACCCTACCTCTTCTAATTAGTACCTTAAAAGCCTTTAATTGTTCATCTGCAGAGAACTATCACAAATGCAAGATCTCCCCACAATTTCCCAGACTGTCATATACTCAGTTAAATAGGCAGTCTCCACTCATAAGTCCAAGCATTTATTAATTTAGCAAATATGGATGTGCTGTCACAGCCAATAAATTCTTTACAAATGCAAATATTGCCCGATGTTATCCAGAAAGCTAAACTGTAGTACAATATAGTACTGTGATAGCAGTATCATTTTGGCAGTTCCAGTTTCCAGTGCAATGCCCACAAAATAAAGTTCTTTTTAACACATATCATAATCTTAATAATGTATATAAAATAGATCAAACAATGGTGCTACAGGATACTAAAATAAGAGCTGTCCCATACAGCATTTCCACATTAAATTAACTGTAAATTATTTTCCTCATTTCTATGGCAATTTACACCAGGCCTATTTTACAACCTGTTTATTCAATCTTTGTTGCATCTGTACTTACTATGACTAATGTTGCTGTCTGCCAGCAGACTGGCAATATCATTTATTTCCAATGGAAGACATATGAGTTAATTAGCAACATAATGATTAATCCAAAATATCTTGGAAGGTTTGTTGGTTAAAAAAACACTCGTCTTACTACAAATAACAAGAATGCCATTTCACTACATGACATATTTTGAACACAGTGAGGTTTGGGGACAAAACCAGCTTTAAAAACTTCCCAATTAAGCTCAAAGAAAATCTCCATATCTTACAAAATAAGAGGCCATGACAAGGAGCAGGCACCTTAAGCTTCCTTTGCCAAAAATAAAGGGGAGGGGGGAAACTACATTTGTATTTGTAGTGTTCTTTCCTCTAGAGGAACAAATTTAAGGAGGAAGTGAGATTGCTAAGGTCATAAGGTTAAGCACTGATTATTTTGTAAAGAGGAGCTTTATTTCTAGTTATAGAAATAAAATGCTGAGTAAATCAGTGTTCAGCCCAGCACTGAAGGGATAAATTCCCAAGTGGCATAAATCAACACGAGTATCAAAGGAGCTATCATAATCACAAGCTCAAAACTTACTCCAAACCCAAATTCTGATTTCCAGCAAGAAATACTGAGAGACAACCTCTCTAATATTGCTGTCTAATTTTGTCTGATCACTGATAGAGATCTGAAGTGACAAGGCAGATAAAATTGGACATGAAAGCATGTTTGGTGATACCTGAGCAGGTTTCACCAAGGAATCTCGTCTCCCTCTCTCTCTCTCTCTTCTGGTCCACATGACAGAATGGTAGGTGAAGCCACCATCCACAGCCCTCAGCCTGACTTTCTTAAAAAAAAAACCTACATGATTTCTGATACATAATAGACTTATTAATTAGACAGATTAATTCTGTCACAGGAATCACAATGTGAATTCAGGTCTTAGTGCTTACTTCTGTCAGTGTGTTAGAGCATGTTGAGGCTTATGTGTGTGGTCAATCTGACAAGCAGTGTCCAACTGAAGGGGCAAGGAAACCAGCTTGATCTGCTTCTTCCCAGCACAGGAACAATCCTGTCACAGCAGCCAGTACCACTTCTAGAAGTGTTAGTCAGCTTTTCTGCATCTTCAAACAGCATTGTTTATCAAATGTGATGCTGGGGGGCAGGAGCCAATTTGGCATGGGGTTGTAGGGAAGATGAGCTTGAGGAAAGGCAAAAGAAGAACAGAATAAATCTGATCTTTTCCTCCTTCCTCACCCCCGCAGAGACCTCTGCACACCCACACTCCAACTGCAAATCACACCCAAGCACACAGTCCAGAAAGTGTTGCTGTAGGCTGTAATTCCCTACAGGCCTTTTTAAGACTGTTATTTACTACATATTTTATTTACATCAGTAAAATAAACCTGGAAGTGCTGGGTTAATGGCTGGATTTGATGAGTGTAGAGGCCTCTTCTGACCTGAGCAATTCTATGATCATTCTTATCCAACCTGAATTAATTTGGAAGGAAATATTTCAGTTTCACAGTGTTATCCGTGAGCGAAAGCAGATGAAGATGTACAAATGCTAAGTAAACAAACAAAAGTCATTTGATTATCCTTCTTTCCAGAAATGCACAAAGATTGTGGCCAAAGAACCAGGTACAGTGAGCTATGTGATGTCATCAACAGCACTCATCTGACACCTCTATTGACACGTACCCTTCTCTCCTTTCTCTTTGTTATCTCTTTATGTTGCAGCTGCCAACTGACTTTCAGGAAAGAGTCAGCATCCACCTGGAAAAACATGGGTGCAGCCTTTCTGTGCCCTTGTGCCACACTTCTTATGCTGATACCATACCCACTTGCGTCATCGCCAAAGTACTGGAAAAGCCAGACCCAAACAGCCTGTCCTCACACTTGTCAAGCCCATCTACAAGGGATCTCAATTTTCAGGACTCTGCTGGAAAAGTCGGACAAAGACCCCAGTACCCCAAGTCCGATATCTACTGCAGTGACACGGCCCTTTACTGCCCGGAGGAGAGGAGGAGGGAGAGGCGGCAGAGCGTGGACACGCAGGTGAAAGACGTGGGGTTCCTGCGGTCCCAAAACTCCACGGACAGCACTGTCGAAGAGGACGGTTTCCATTCCAGCTTCTCCCACGAAGCCTTCCCAGAGTACATTACCTCTCTGCCAACCTCCAGCTCCTACTCCAGCTTCAGCGTCACGTCTGAGGAGAAGGAGAACGCCCAAGCCAACACTCTGACAGCCTCCCAGCAAGCGATCTACATGAGCAACCGGGAGGAGCTCTTTGAAAGGAAGTCACCCGCGGGTTACGAGCATCAGGGAAGCCCCAGGTTTGCCAAGCCCAAACCCGCGCAGCACATGGAGCTTGCTGACGACAACGAGAACTCGCCCACTTTTACCAGGACTCTGCCTCCATATGCAAATGAACCTTTTCATTTCTCAGCCATAACACCACAGCAGGCTTTAGCAAACCAGAAAATGAGGAACGAGTGCAGGAGCACCCACCTTTCAGAAGAAGACTTGCCAGGGCGATGGAGGCAGCTGAGCGTGGAGGACATTGGAGCGTACTCCTACAGGAACACTGGCAGGCTGTCACCCTGCAGTTTCTCAGAGCAGTACTACAGCAGCCCCATCAAGAAGGGGGACAGTCGAACAAGCCCCATCTATGCTAGTTACAAAGCAGACAGCTGCTCAGAGGGAGACGACATCTGCCAAAGCAGACTTGTGGATTCTTGCTTCCTGAGAACAGACAGTGGCCTGAACATTGACATCAGCACGAGCTGTAAACAGGACAAATTGCCCACTTACAAAACAAAAGAATCAAGAGACCAAAAAAACGAAAGGATCACTGTCCAGTTATGCAGTAGCAAAAACATCGAAAATAGCCCAGTATTGAAAAGAGAGTACGTGGACGTGAGCCCCAACAGCTCAGCAGAGTCACTCAATCAGAGTTCAGTGGAGGCTTCAGAAATCCACCAGTCTTCCATGGATCAAGGAAGCCATCCGGGTGTTCACAGCAAACAGCCGCAGTTTCAGCGGACTGGGAGCACTGGTCTGAGTCGGAAGGACAGCCTTACAAAAGCACAGTTATACGGAACCCTTCTGAACTAGGCATCTCCCCAAACGGCAATAAGACAGCAAGCAAAAGGAAGAAAACAGCATTTGATACTTCTAGTGAACAATAAGGTTCCAAGAAACAGGATTATTATAAAATATATATTCATAATGGTACTATATGTTTAAAACAAAATCTCTTCAAAAACGTTATACAGCACTTTTCACTTGACGCCCTTTCCACATGGGAGACTGTCCCCTCCCCTCTTTTATAAACCTGAAATATTTTTATAAACAAAAATGTATTTATTAGACTATCCTAAGCTATTTGAGCAGAATTCTTTTCCCTTCAAGCAGGTTTCTTATTTATTTTTGTGCATGAGGCCATCTGTGCCTAAATTCTTGGAGGAAAAGGGTAAAATCATGATGGCAGTGACAAAAAAAAAATAAACCCACCTGATAAAATACCATAAAATGTCATGTGAAATCAAAACAAACAAGAATGGTGAATTTGAAGAAGTATATTTTTCAACAAGAATGGAATTGTATCTTAAGTTATTTCATACAAATGTATTTATGAGTGACTAATGTATGCACAAAGTGATACTAATATTTTGTTCTTTTAATCCACTGTGTTTCTGCTTTCCTATTTTTCCTTGTATACTACCTCAAAAGTAATTGAGGGTTTCTTTGTCACATTTTCTGTAGGCTTGCATTTATATTGTCTAAAATGCATGCAGTGTCATAATTAATACTGTATTTTGCATAACTTAATAAAAGACACCAGTGGATATATTTTGGGGTTGTTTTTCCCTTCATTCAATAGAACATGGAACTGCTCTGAGGGGCATCAGTCCAGCAAAGGTTAATGACTAAAGCTCCAGATTGCTTTTTAAAAGAGTCTTTTTCTCTGCAACCTCCAGAGAAAACTGGTTCACAGCCCATGGCCTCTGGGTGTGGGAGGATGACTTCTCATCAACCTGTTGAAAGTAAGCAAGGAAAAAAAAACCATTTATCCACAGTCTTGAGTTCACTAGACAGGGTTCTGCATACTGAATGAAAACAGAAAATTACTCCAAAAGCAGCGATGTAAGCTCCTCCTCTATTGCTCACATACTTGACACAACCTTTTATGCCTTTAGGACTGTTACATTCCACAGCTGCCCTTTCTTCATATGTAGCTTGTCTAAATCTAACAGTGATTTTTCTAAAGCCTAAGGAAAGTCTGGCTGTCTGTAGCCCTTACCCCTGAGTCCGAGATGTATTTTTACCTGCACTTCTGGCATTTCCTCCAGCAATTTTTCTGCTTCTCACCATTTCACCATTATGGAGTGTGCAAGTGGGACAGGAGGAAAAAGGAAAGAGCAAAGCAAGAAGAGAAAAACAAAAAGGAGATAAAGGGAAATCCTGTGAATTTTTTTCCCAGCTTCAGTATTCCTGCTTGGTAAGAGGTAGAATACAACAATAAATATTTAATAATTATTTTAAGGCATGTTCACATATCCTGTACTTAAAATACTGACTCTTGACAGCTCATGTATGGGGGAAGACCTTGCTTAGTGCAGTATGTGGTAGTAATCAATGGGATCACTGTGGAAATATAAACTAGCTCCTTGTAAACCTAAAATAATGATCTATTCAATAGGTATTAAGAAAATACACTTTTTCTGCTGATTCTCTGAAAGCAGTTACCTGGCAACTAACTATGAACCAGGACTACAGAACTGTTCATTTCCCACATAAGTATCTTCAGTCATGGAGCCACAGATTCAATGCACTTGGCATGAGTAACTCCCATTGCTCTCCATTTCCTCCATGTATAATATAAAAATCTGACCATTTCTGATGTGTGCAAGTACTTGCTGTGCTTTTTGGAAGATCAGGCATCAAGTCCCTGCAGTTCCTCCAGGGTCTGTTGCAGCACTGTGGAGAAAAACAGTAGCATGGTAGCAAATAATATCACACAGGTAAGGCACGAGATAGCTGCAAAGTGGTGCTCATTTCAGTACAAAACTGTCACATGCCTTGTGATTTTCTGCTCCCAAACTTGCTCACAGTGAGTGAGAGGTAGGGCAGGCTGCAAATAATTCCATGAAGTCGATAATAAACACATACAGTGAGGTTTCCAAAGGCCAAGAGCTACTTATGGCAGGATGTGACCTGCAGTAAATTGACTTGGAGCACCAGAAGAGATGTTATTTCCCCTTTGAAACACCAAGATAGAAAACAGATGTGAAAAAAACCTCACTGTTGACTCACTCAGGTATATAAAATTTAGACAATCCCTAAGGCAAGACATTAATTTCTCTGGTCAATGAATATAAGGATTTGTATGGAAGAGGTGAAAGTTAACTATTATCTCACCTAAGAAAATATGTAAGCTGTGGAACAGTAAATTGTGTCATTTATGAACTGGAACACAGTGTCAGACTAATCCTTTTATAATATTGTTCATTATTTGACCTAAAGTGCTACTTTGGCAATTACACAAAATTACATCTCTTTTAGATATTATATCTCTGATTATTTAATATCCTGTTCTATTATATGCTTTCATACTACTGCAGTTTCAGTCTGCTTCTATGCTTCACTTAACTCTTTTTCTCAGTTTATGTGCACTAATACATAGATTAAACCCAGCCTTTTCAGCCCATTAGTACAGTTTTTTTGTAAAATAGCCTATAACCTTGTCATATTTTCTGTAATGAATTCTGTTTCAGAACAATATATTACCCTGCAATGAATTTCAACTGAATCAATCAAAATTACTATAAAAATTCTTCAGTTTTAATGTGTTGATTTAAATTTCTCCTTAATTAGGAAAACTGACAGTAAGTGTGGTAATTTCCTATGAACATGAGAAAAAGTTTCAACAATTCACCAAAATTCTCTGAGATTTACAGATGAACTATGGTTTAGTTTAATTTTAAAAAATAACTTTGAAATATTATAATAAAGGATATATTCCTGGGATCTTTGGGTTCATTTTTTCACAATAAATTTACATTTACTGAGACAACCTATGTCTCTATTGAGACAACAGAGAGAGATCTGAAGCATAAGAACAGAATGATGATAGGTGTTTTCACAATAGATTCAAATTCTCTTTGTGGTAGTGTCTTAATTTGTTGCTTCCCTTCAGTTTTCACACCAGGAGGAAGTAATCCAGAAAAATCATGATGAGTTTTGGAGTATGTCACTGGAGATATCGAGAACATGATGCTGTGCCATCAGACAACCTGTTTGTAAAAAACTGAGATTTTAGGAGATTGAATCTTGTTAAAAAGAGACAAAGGCAGAGAATAAGCCTGAACCTTATTCAGAAAAGGGCTAGTAGATCTGTCTGCCACTGCCTTCCTGAGAGCACCTACCTTCTGTAGGACATTTCTGACAGAGAACAGTGACTGAAAGATGCTTCTCAGAAGAGCTGACTTCCCTTTTACATTCCAGTAGATGTGGTTTGATAAACTCCACTCTTACGTTCATTTAATGACAAGTTTCTCCAGGAAGCAAAACAACAGATCTTCAGCCAAAGCGCCACAGACCCCTCCACTCCAGGGGCTGAGGATTTGCTGTGAAATACCTTTTCCCAAATACATAAATATTCAATTTTCTCTTGCGCATAAGAATGCCAAGGTGTCAGACTGCTGCCACAAAACCTTTCCAAATCAAATTTCATATGCAGGATTTGTAGGTAACTACAGCAGGAATTTTGATTTCATTAATTATTTCATTTGCCATGAGTAAGAACAGAAAGGGAGAGTAAAAGAAGTGGCAAGTCCCAGACAGTGCAGTGAAGCAGAAGATGAAAAATGTCATTTTAATGATGAAAACCAAAAGCAGAATGAATATGACACAGAACACTGATCAGGGGGAAAACTAAGGGGACTGAAAGAGATCAGAGTCAGGCATATTGAATCACATATCAAAACAGACAAGAATACAAAAATGCTACTAGGGATATGGGTTATAATTCACCAGGAATAACAATGCAAATCTATTATGAAATTGTGGAAAGAAAATGCATTTTTGAGATGTTTTCTCACTCCCAATTAACCTTAAAAAAAGGTGCAAAATCTCAATAATTATGAATAATGAAGATTATTTTTGTTAAACTTTTTACAAGTCTAGAAATAGCTAAAATTCTGAAGTTAAAATCATGGCAAGCCATAACAAAGGTCATTTTCAACTCAATAGTTTCTAACTTCTTCACCTAAACTAGAAAATTAATCAAACTAATTCTTTCTCCTTCCAGCACTTTTAATTAAAAAGAATTTTCCCTCCATAATCTATTACAGAGCATGATTACGCAGCTACTTAGATAAATTTCCCCTTGTTTAATTTTGAAGTACTAATTGACATCCTTTGGACTTTCATATAAAACTCTTATCCCCTGTTCATGTTTGCAACCTTGTAATCTTTACAGACCATTGTTATACGTCTCCTTAAATATTGCTGAAATTGTGTAGCAATTCTGTGATGTAGCCCTCTCAGGTTTTTCTCTTGGAAGACTCCCTTCAGGACACTAACTGCTTCTTATTCTATTCAAGGAGCATCCTCCTCACCTTTCTGCTGCTGAACACCATAACATTTTTCTATGAACAGTGAGCTGTTCCAACCCTCTGTACAAAAGCACAGTTCAAGGAAAGGAGAGGACGACACAGATTAGAGCAGCTTCTGATGACCAGACACGCTGATCTGCACACATCAAACCATGGCATGTTGTCTACATGGTCTCATATCATTGTTTCCCAATCTTTCCTTCATGTCTTTGAAAACAAACTTCATTGTTAAAAACAACTCTGGTGATTCAGTCATTCTTTATCAACCTGTCATTCATTCCAGCACTTCTCACATTATTTTCCCTTTGGTATTTTCTTTTTAGTGTATTTTAGTAATTGAGAGGTTTTGTTTAGCTGCAGAATTAAAAAGAATTATTTGAGTATTCATGAAACGAAAGGTTTTGCTCCTTTTGTACCCCACAAGGTCTTAAACACCAGCTTAATGTCCAAGGCACTGAGGTTTTGGAAGGCTGCTGTTCCAAGCCCCTGAGCTCG